AGAATCAGCTGCCAGGTCCCATAGCCTATCCCAACAATGTCGCACAAATCGTTGATGGTACGACGTCGATCTTCGTAACAGTTTCGGGCGTTGTGCTCGAAGATGGTCGGCCAGAACGCTCGTCATCATCGACAGAGGTTCGGCCATTTTTAAAACGTGAATGCCACACAAAAGTTTGTGCACGACCCATTGCGGACTCCCCAAATGCTTGCTTGAGCATTTCATAGGTTTCCGTAGCCGTTTTGGCGAGTCTTTGGCAAAATTTGATGCACACGCCATTCCGAAATCGCAGGAGGGTCGGTGTAATGCACTACCAAAACGCCCGTAACTAAGAAAGAAATGCTAATTCGATGATGCCGGCTGGCACACTGATTCACTATGAATGTAGGCCGCACCCCCTAGCGGCAGACGCTCGTACTACATCCGGTTCGCCCTCTATTGACATAGTATTGAAACTTTCCGATCGCACCTCGTATGTATGTCAGTGAGAAACGTGTGGCTGGAATAAAATGTCAGCGAAAGAATTTGATTTTTGAAAAAGTTCACATGTATGTCGGGTTACTTTTAACTGAATCCTTGTGTACACTAAGCTGAAAGCTGCAAACAGTGCATTTAGTGGATCGAATTTTCGACCTCGGAGTTAAACGTGACATATTAACAAAGTTGTGAATAATTTAGTTGTAAATCCCTCGCTGTATTGAATGAAAAGTGTCTGCACATGAGCACTGTGTGAGGATTGAGCAGTGATGGATTAATGTACCAAGGTTTTCTCTGTCTATAGCGTGTATGAGCTGGCTGCTCTCTGCTGATAACAGATTATACACTCCATTTACTCTGCGTTTCATTCGCTTTGGGAGCTCAGAGAGTGTAAATGCAGCTAGTAGGAACATTAAATCACACGCCATATTTATGTTCCTCTCTGAGGGAGGACTATGAACCTACAACAACTGAAATAGGGCAGCAAACGACTTAATGAAAGCTTTTCTTGTCCTGGAAATGTTCATACACTTCAGCGTATTCGGGAGGTAGGCTCATACGTTCGTGAGATGATTGCGAATAGCGAAATCCATTAACCGCCTCCATGCTGAGCTTTTGCTACAAGGAAGCTTCCTTCCGTTAGCAGGTGACGATGATAATGTGTAATCACTTTGTTACCTCTGTACTGAAAAATAGGTTTTAACTGTTGAGAGATAACGCGAGAGATTCTTTCTTTTGATTCTGTCAAATATTAAATGAAATCAAATCGATAGGTCTAATGTTTCTGAGTGATGCAAGGACTTTTGGCATTCGCACCATAAAAATGGTTAAACAAATCCGTGGAATATGTTAAATAAATTTATCTTTTCAATTAAATACGTGTTAATTTTTTTTTTACAATTTTTATACTTCTACGAACGTCGGTAAGATCACTTTCTTTTGGAGGACGTAAGTCATCGGAAGAACCAAATAAACACGAAACACTTCACGAGCTGTCGCCGAGACAACTGAGGGCGCGGGCCGAGGCGGCCCTCTGACGTAGTCGCTTTGAAACTCCAGGAAGCTGACGAATAAGAACCACTAGAAACTTGTGAAAATGGTTATTGAAAGCAAATTTGCGAAGCTGGAGAGACGACAGTATAAAAGTATTTAATTTTAAAACAGAATCCTCTAAAAACAAAATACGTATATTACAGACTTTTATTTTTGGATTAGAATAGTAAATTTGACCATCCAAGTAAGTTGTTTATTTTAATAAACCGGAAATTACAGTTTACAGTAGACAAAAATTACATCACTGTAAATGTTTTCGACCACGAAATAATTAATATAATTAACGAGACCCCATACCGACCTACGACAATAATGTGCCAAATTATGTATAGAACAGGCCACGTTTGATTGATAGCACAGACATTTTTTTTAAAACTAAAGCACGATCTGTGAGTGGATCAAGGAATAATAATGGTAATATACCTAAACGTGTAGCCACGGTGGTCTAACGGTTAGAACGCTGGCCTTGTAATCCTGGGGGTCTCGGGTTCGATTCCCGGCGGTGCCCGAATTTATAACTTGTGTTGGGCAAGGCCGTGGTCTAGGCAACACGGAGTTTTCCTCCGGGGGCTTCCCCGGTTTCTCCGTGGCATCCCAACAATTACTCCATTCACACACAGAAGAAGGCAATGGCAAACCACTTCTGGATCATCTGCCAAGAACGTATATGAACAGATCCCAGTCCGAGAAAAGGATGGAAGGATCCTGTTCATATGGACCTGTCGTCAGACAAAACACTAAAAATAAAAAATGCCATTCTATTCGAAATGAAGTGAATTAGTGTAAAACATTATAACGACACGTGCATGGATGCGATTGTGCTGTGAGGAACCATACATACATTTACCTCGTCAGTTTGTTAGTGGTCGGTCTTCCAAGAACTAAAACACAAAACCAGAAAACGTTCCACCACCCACTTTAGAGGATGTTGGCACGCGGAGATCAAAGTGATGATGAAGGACGAGGGGGGGTAAGGGGAGAGGGGTTTTATTCATTACTGGCCCACCAGCGACGTTTCTGACGTGCAGCATCCGATCTGAGGAACGCACCGAGCCCAGTTCGCGATATGACAATTACACGACAGCATTGAGGTTAGCACAATTAAAACCGAGGATAGGAACAATACATACTTAACTCCCACAAGTTGTCCACGATTATAAGAACAAGAATGGAAAAACCTCTTATCACTGCATTACCAACATACGACAGAAATGAAATAGTGCAAAATTTGCTACTCTAGAGAGAGAGAGAGAGATATATAAAAGGAAGACACTTGGAAATTTTATGATAAAATGAAACATTTAAAATGCAGAACATTACGAAATAACGTTTCAAGAATCAGTTAATGTCAACGTAAGAAAAGAACGTTCCTTTAGAAACTTGAGGAAAGTAAAAAGTCGATTATCGAGGTAGGATTTGGGATTTACTAGCAGCGAGTACGAAGATGTCTGTCTTCTGGGCTGTAGAGACGTGCAGTCTGGTATACGTTTAGCAACGTTTCGGGCATCCATTAATAAGGCAATGAGTCATCGCCCTGATGATGGAAGCAGCAAGAACTTCTGAAACGTTGCCAAACCTTACAAGCTACACGGCCCTACAACCCAGAGCACAGCTATTTTAAAGAATTTATTGATCAGCTGAACGACTACTAGTTTCTCAAATGGGATTTCGCTCCCTTGAATTAGATAATGAATTTGTAAACCATATTTTAGAAATCCTTCTAAATAGAAACATAACAAAGTCCAAATAACCACACTCCTCAAAATCACTCTAATATTTTGTCATCTACGCCAAGGTCTTCCAAGTGGCTATTTTCTTCACATTCCCCAACCAAATTTTAAATGTATTTTTCCGCACTCTCATGCACATATACCGTTGATCTGATCACTATAATAATATTTGATGAAGCGTTTGGGTTTGTAAAATCTAGGCAATCGCAAGGACTGCAAATAGCAGCCTTTGAACTACGAACTTTTTTTACACGAGGCCGAATGTATTCCGGATATCCAAATGCAGGGGCGTCCTGCATATGTAACTTTAAAGTTGGTTAACTGCTACTTATTACAGTACGATAATGGTGGTTAAGTATGTATTGGTAATGTTAGGTGGAATATAACTGCATACAAAACACGAACATAAAAATTATATCGAAATAATTTCTTAAAAGCATGCGTTGACAACCAAACAGAATGAACAACATATGGTGTCCGATAATAACAATAATCTGATATATTCTGAACAGAATTGCTACCTGGAATTGCAGGTACAAGGGACGTCATGTGAATGCGTCATTATAAACGTCTTAAGTGCGTGTTTTCTTTCCCAAATAACGTACAATTTGTCTCATTGTGGTGGGACTTTACTCAAGGAGAATAAAAATACCTTTCAGACCCAGTATCCCCGGGGAATGAAGTCATTTTATACGCTTTCTGTAAAAACAGAGCATCTTTGCATATTTATCCATGTGACACACTAACATATGGATGTATGCGTTATATATACTATGCATATATTTATGTAGGCCTGTGTATGTATGTAGTATGCTTCTATGCATGTATTTAGGAAACAGCCTATATATGCATGCTTCTTAAAGGAAAATGCAGTACAGGGTAGTTTGGAAGTAAGTAGGCATTATATAATCGCTTTGCATTGGAAATAAAGGGGTTATAACCATTTCTCATGCCTACTTATCCACCCACTCTGTATGTCTGTGTTTCGTGTGTGTAGGCCACGTATCCATTTATCTAACAACCCTTCTCATCTAGAAAGCATTTTTATAACACTCAATATTGTGACTTAATAGGGTTAACATTTAGGTGGCATTAACACTTCAGGTGAAGATGAAATCAGAACCAATTTCACCAAGAGTCGCGCGTATTAAACAGACTATATTTCTGATAATTGACAATGTCTAATATTAGAAACAGTGTGATACGTTGAGTATGCAGAATGCAAGGCAAAGAGGCCAGTGAAGAGAATGAAGTGTGATGATATGACGGATGCTTAGGGAGTCGATTTTGAAATGGATTGGGTGTAATGACGTCAGTAGTTTTAAAATGTGACGTAACTGACTTTCCCATCCTGTGCTAAGTCCAGAAATGTCCCTGTGGCTAAAACTTGTCTTGATCCATAATTTTCATTGATGTGGATCCAACACAGACACAGTTGTTTGTGCCCTTCGATTTTAAGTTATGTAATCAAGTCACAGAATAAAACATTTTACTTATAAATCCTTACATGTAACTTGCTTATTCAGTTAATTGGTTTTTTACTCAGTCTATTGAACGTAGCACGAACTAAATTAATATCTATTATACTGTGGGTTATTACCTGCGGGCATTGTATGTATTGTGTACTCATAAACCTCTTCTTCTGCTTTCCGTTTATAATGCTTTATTTATTTAATTCTTTTCAGTTGTTCCATTAATAAAGTTTTGTTTTTCTCTTTTATCGTAGGAAGAAGTAAGTAACTGCCATCTGCCGCCTCGCCAAGCAACTATAGTTGTGATCCACTCAACAAACACAGTGAGACCAAAAAAATAATTACACAGGGTTGAAAGGACATTTTATTGCATTTAAAATCAATATTTTCGTTGGTTCCGGCTTTCTTTAAAGTTAAAGAGAAATTTTCCTTTCCAATTATTTCTTTCTGTTTAAAGTTGCTCATAACACTACGACATAATGCATGCGATGAATTGAAATTTAATTGGAAAGCCGCTGTTGTTTTCAAAACAGTGAAGTGTTCTGTCTCCCGAAAGTCAATGAGAAAAAGTACAAATTATTATTATTATAAATATACATAACCCTGCATAAATTAGGACGCTGTACCTACTTATTAAGATAACTCCGAGCAAGCGAGTTCGTTCTGCTTGCCGGGTGAGGGCACTGAAGTCCCGCAGAACGGGGCTACAGACGCTGTCAGGGGCGAAGCGTTAAAGCACTGAGCCTACCCAGGATCCACTCTGTTACTTGAACTTTTATTTACGCTCCGAAACCCAATACAAAAGCTGTATTTGAAATCCCAAAAAATAATAAACATGTAAACTTGAGGTTTACACGACAGCGTGAATTCGGTGGATGCAAGGCTCTACAATCCGAAAGACTGCAATCTAATTAATGAACTACCTGCAAGAGTCCTCGCGAAGCTAACAGCATGCTTAAGTAGTCAAGACATCTACTGGCTTTTATGTAATCACAAGCTTCATTACGGTATTACGGGACCCTATCCTCAGCCAGATAAATCCAATCCAC